CATTTTCCACTTCTAGGTAGAAACGCGCTTTTAACTGCATTGCGCATAAGGATTCCTTACTAGTCCTTATTGAATATGGAATCCTAGTTCCATGACATATTTTCCTTTGGTCAATTAGATTGGACTGCACCAAGATAGATTGCTTTGAATGTAGAGAAAATTTGAGGACAAAACCATATTAAAAGTGCATTTTATACAGTTTCATTCGATTTAAAATAAATTTTAATTTTTTCCTAAATCCTAAAAAAAATTAATGAAACTAAGCACCATACACTTTATATTTGGTACAAGTTGGTCTAGCTCAAACATTGTTTCGGTCCGATGCAGACCGAGTTGTTACATACCCCTACTAATACCTCTCTAAGATTGGTAGGTAGAGGTGGCAAATGTATCTGATCCATGGATTGGTGGATTGGATTAGTGGATCCATGGATCAAATGGATTGGTGGATTAATGGATTGGATCAAGTGGATTGGTGGATTATTATTTTTTTTTTTTTTTTGATGAATGGGTGGGATTTTATTTCATCAAAAATACAATCTGTACAAAGTCTGACATGGGACTAGAACAGTTTACACTTTAACCACAACACGCTAAAAACCTATTTACACTACAAATCTATGCCTTGTACCATAAATGACGCGCCATAGCTAGATCAGCAAACCCAGGATCTCCCAACTCTCTAGCTATCATGACCTCCTGCATTTTACACACCAGCTCTGCAACCAACAGTTGCTTCCCTCCAAAAACTCTTCTACATCGTTCTCTCCATATTTTGCTTAGCACTAGGCACCAAAGGATCCTGCCCACCAAACACTTATTGAGTCGCTGTGTAGCTAAAGAAACTGCCTCCTGCAGGGTTCTGGGCACTGGGAGCCTCCATGAAGGGGGAAAAACTGCTCTCCAAGTATCCTGCACATATGAGCACTGGAAAAAAAGATGAGACTTGGTCTCCCCAACCTGTCCACAAAAAACACACAGGTCATTCACTACAGGATTCCACTTCTTCACCACATCCATTGTATGGATCCGTCCTAGTAAAATCAACCATGTTATTGTCGAGTTTTTTGGGATTCCTCCCTTCCATACCAACTTCGACCAACTGACTGTAGTCCCTCTTGGCCTGAAACTCTACCAGACCTTGCTAATTTTGAACCTCTCCATCAGTTCCCCTTCCCATTCAACCCCTCTGCTGGTTAGACACAACTTCCCTTCCACCTCGCTTCGTAATTTCAAGACTTTGTTCCACACCCAAGAACCACCAGTGCTTACCTCCCAGATGCTCAAATTCCTTAGCCGATACTCTTTTATCCAGGCAATCCACAGGGTATCCAAGCCAGAGAGAACCCCCCAAATGTGCCTAGTGAGGCAGGCCTTATTCCAGGAATAGAGGTCTTTAAACCCCATTCCACCTTCTGATTTAGGCAGGGCCACAGTTTTCCATGAGACTTTAGCCCTTTTATTTTTCTCAAGATCACCCCAGAGAAATTGGGAACACAGTCTCTCAATCTCCCTAATCACCTTCTTTGGCAAAAGTATGACCTGCATCCAGTACTGTGTCATACTTGCAAGAACCGAGATGACCAGCTCAATTTTACCAGCATATGTTAACAACTTAGGCTGCCACCCCATTATACGCTTCCCAATCCTATCCACCAGGTTCCTACAATCAGCAGCTGATAATTTCCCAGCAGTCAGTGGCAAGCCAAGGTATCTGACTGGCAAACAACCAGCCTGGAAGCCAGAACGCGAAACCAAATCCTCCCTCAGAGAATCAGGGACCCCTGCACTGAAAATCTCACTTTTGCTCTGATTGCACCTCAGCCCAGAAATCAGATAGAATTTATCCAACACTTCAGCAACCACAGACACACCTTCTACACTTCCTTTAGTAAAAATCAGTAGATCATCAGCAAAACACAAATGTGTTAAGCTGATTCTCTTACATTGGGGATGGTATGGCAAGAAACCTCTAGCAGCAGCTCTATCAATCATACAACTTAGTACCTCCATGCTAACAGTGAACAAGTAAGGTGAAAGTGGGCAACCTTGCCTCAAACCCTTCTTAGCAGGGAATAATCCAGTCAACCCTCCATTAATACAAACAGAAAAACTTGTAGAAGTCAAGCAACCTCTCACCCAACTCACAAATCTGCTTGGAATACCCATGGCCGACAGAGTACAGAGCAGGAAATCCCAATCAACACTATCAAAGGCTTTCATTATATCTATTTTTAGGGCACATCTAGGGGAGACATTTTTCCTGTTGTACCATTTCACCATTTCATGAGCAAGTACAATATTGTCTGTAATGAGCCTGCCTTGAATGAAGGCAGACTGATTAGGGCTAATAAGTTGAGGCAAGACTACCCTAATTCTGTTAGCAAGAATCTTGGAAATACATTTCTAGATGAAGTTACAGCAGGATATTGGCCTGAAGTTCCTCATTGTGTTTGCATTTGGGACCTTAGGAATGAGAGCTAGGATAGTACAGTTTACCTCTTTGCGCAGTGTGCCAGTGCAGAAGAAGTCTTGAACAGCAGAGATAAGAGTCTCCCCCACCAGATTCCAATGGAATTGAAAAAACTCAGCAGGGAAACCATCTGGCCCAGGGGCCTTCCCTCTCTTCATCTTCATGACTACATTTTTAATCTCCTCCCCTGTAACCTGAGCACATAATTCCTCACTACCTGTCTCCAGATGGAACTTAAGAAGACTTCGAAGGGTGCTAACTGAGACCCTTTTCAAGTTTGCATCCTCAGTCCCCAATAGCTTCTTGTAGAAATTCACTGCCTCCAAACCAATTTCATCAATATTTTCCAGAATAGTTCCTTCATCAGTGACTAGCTGCTTGATATTATTCCTAGCCTGTCTGGTTTTAACCATACTGTGGAAAAAACTGGAGTTAGTATCCCCCTTTGTAACCCACTGCTGCCTGGATTTCTGTTTAAGAAAACTTTCTTCTGCCTTTTGAAGAGCAAGAAGCTGGACCATACACCTCTTTTCAGCTTGGAAAGCTGAAGAGGCAGGGCGCTCCAACACCTCTTGCTGAGCTCTCTCAAGTTCGGCCCTTGCCTGCCTAACTCTATTGTAGACACCACATTTTGTCCGGGATATTTGTTTTACTGAAAATAATTATTTTAACGTCATACTACGATTATATTTAAAAAGGAAGCTGAAGATAATTTGGTTGAGACTAGCAGTTGCAAGTCAATATGAACCAACAATTATCGAATATGCTCCTAGTCGATTTTAGGGCTTAATTAGTTAAGATAGGATCGGTTTAAGTTAAGATTAGCAGTAGCAAATCATAAATATAAATTCTCAATTGGATGAAAGAGTGACTATAGTGCAAATTTTGTCTCTCGAGTTTGGATTTTGGAAATGGGACAAATTGAATAGTTAAATGAGCTCTATTACAAAAGATTCAAAATTGATACATCGTACAACTTTCGAACAACTTGGATAATGACCTCTAAATAAAGCGATAATTGAATTAATAACAATGACTAATGCTAACTCTACAAAATTTAGGCCACGCAATTTGATTTGTATATATACAATTACAAAGAGTGAAATATTTGAGCCTTGAGGCATGAATCTGGTCCACTAGCCCAGCTTTCTTAGTCAGCCAAGCCCAGTTACCTGAAAAAATGAGGAGACCAATTAGTCCAATTCCAGTTTTTTTTTAAGCCCAAAATTGGCTGCCACTCGAGCCCAGTTTCTAACCAGAAACCAGAGGCCCAATCAGCCAACATAGGTCCATCTCGGAGCCCAACTCGGCCCAACGAACATACAATAAACAGGCCCAACTACCCAACCCACCTTATCTACAGACAATTGTGCAATTCAAGGAGGGCAAGCCAGAGGAGGAGGGCAGCTGCCCCCTAAAAAGAGTAGGCCGGCCACCTCCATCCATGGATTAACCAAACATTGCCACATCTATCCAATGAACAGTAGCCATTTGGCTATAAAAAGCTCTTCAACATTTGCTTAGAGGGAGGAGGGGAAGGAAAGAAGAAATAAACACTCTACAAAAATAGAAATATTGACATTCCAAACAGTTTTTTCGGTTCTTGCTCTTAGCCGAAGTTCATTGGAGGGAACTGCGAGATTGGAGGAGCAGATTTGAAGACTGACGCAGGAAAAGGCCATTCTTAGGCCTAGAAATTCAGGTTGGTACTAGTATCAATTTCCATTTTCCATTTTTTATCAAGTCCATACAATCATTATGATGTTATAATCGTCCATCTATTTGCGTATTTATATTCAAGCATTTTAATTTACAAGCTATTCATAATCAAGCGCTTTATTTACCAAGATCTGCTCATATCAGTTTCATTAAGCTCTCTTATTGTATTTTCTTTTGCTTATTATTAGCTATGCCAATCTATAAACCGATTTAGATAACTGTCATTAGAGTTGGATCTTTTTGTTTTAAATTTCTGTAAATAGCTTACTTTCGAAATAAGCAAAAATGACTTTTCAAAAGTCCATGGATCAACTTGGATTTGCAACGTAAATCACCCAAATACATTATATTCCAGATTTCAAAACCAACAGAGAAATCCATAATCTAGCAATCATAGTCTACACAAAATCGCAAGCAGTGGCTGTGATAATTAATGATTTAGCCTATTATAAATAAAACTAATTGTGTTTTTATTATGAAACTGATTTGCATATTAAAAGTCCAAAGCATCCAAAACAACCGATTTTTACCAAAAGTCAAATCTGTAAATTATTTCCAAGTTCATTAAGAACAATCTTCAGGTAAAAATCGCCAGATTCGTAGATGATGAAAATCACAGACTAGCAAGTCAAGATTAGCAAACCCCATCTTCCTACCATAAACTCGCATCCATAAACAAACTAAAAAAAACCTACAGTAAAATATCATCTTTTCTTAGTTTTAACCTCCCAAGTTAAACATATCTGAGTTAGGAGACCTCACCTAGCATTTAGCAATACCTGGTTCCAAAACCTACGTCAAATAAAAATAGAGGTCAGAATCGATTAAATATGCAATAAACCCGAAAATAAAAATCATTGAGATAAGATCATCACCTACCATAGTAGACGGTACTTTGCGAGGCGGCCATAGATTTCCCCTCCATCACTCGACAAAAACAAAAAAAAAACTTTATCAAAACCCAGAAGCAAGATAAACAACCAATAAACCAAAACAAAAATTACAGGGGCTAAGCCTACCGTTGATCGGCCTCTTCCCTGCTTCCTCCCCCCTCGCACAAATCAAAACCGAGGAAATATCAGAAAACCCTCGTCTTACAAATATCAAGAAAACTCCACATGCAAATCAAAACCTCACCCAGATCTACTCGTCTTTGACGAAATAACTCCATCTCCGACGACTCCTGTCCCTTTTCATCTTTCCTCGACAAAACAAAAACCCAGAAGCCCAGAAATTAGAAGAGTCCGAAATAAAAATGAAAATAAACTAGAAACCCGAAACATGCATGTCTCGATCTTACCTAAATCGAAACCTTCTAAGTTGATTTAGCTCGATACGAGCGGTCTCCTTGGCTAGCCGAGAGGAGAGGACGGCGGCGTAGAGGAGAGGGTTAGTGATTCGTTTTTCTGGAAATAGAAGAGGAAGAGTATTGTTTTTTACTTTCTTCTCGTCTCAGAGGAGGCGAAGAGAAGAGGAGAGAAGGATCGGGACAAAAGAGAGGGAGAGGGAGAGTCCTTCTTTTATTTTTATTTTTCTTCTGCTTTCTTTGCTTTGGGAATTGGAGAAAGATGAGAACGAGTGAAGAGAGAGAGACGAGAGAGAGAGATGAGCGGCCGCCGCTTTGCTTAGGTTTAGGATTAGGGTTTCCAAAAGAGGTTTATATACCTCAACATAGTAATTGACTGTTTTACCCTTGGGGTTTCCGAAAATTAACTGGCCCTGCCACCGTGTTTTGGTGAAAGTTCGAAACTACCCTTCCCCTTTTCTCTGAAATAAAACGAGAAACAAAAAGGGTGGTAGCAGCTGGGTTTCGAACCCGTATAATCACAATCGGGTATGTTGTACGACTGGCGTTTTAGCCAGTTGGGCTGCTAGCCCATCATTCGTAAATTTAATCATCCCATTCAATTTTATTTATTTGTAAAAGCCCTAATACGAAATGTTGAACGCGGATTAAGTTTATCCCGTTTCTTTTCTAATACACCAAATCTCCTTCTAATAATTGAGATCCTTATATTATCTTTTATAATTTCATAATATCAACTTAAATTTCATTCACAGTAAATTTTGATACGAAAACCACGATCAATGGAATGTGGTAAAAATTTTAAAAGTCCGAACGAACTACGTGGACTTTGATCCCGTCTAACGGGTACGTAGGCAACCGATAAGGTTCGAGTCCAACTAACCAATTAACTTTATCTTTAAATTATACGACAGTGGACGTATAATTAAATTACAACTAATATGATAAAATCATTTAATGGTCCAGTGGGACCCTAAAATTACAAAAATATTACTAAAATACACCCAACTAATATAAAACTTATCAAACTTAAGTAGTACCGATTTAGGGCGTTGTGGGGGTGTTGCTTAACTTCCCCACACGTAACCGTACTCCCGAACCCAGAACTTTATTTTCGCAGACCATATCTCGGTTCTGACCCTAAGGTTAGAGCCGACCGAAGAGTGTTCGATCCACTCCAAGTAAGATCGATGGCGACTCCCAAAAACGCCGACGCGACGACATTCGGACCCCCCGGAGGGACGGTTGCGACATCTATCATGAATCTCAGAGAAGCACTCCCTATTGAGTTTCTTAAGAACATTCTTAATACCACGCAGCTTCTGATACAACCTTGCCATCGCAGTGCCAGAGGTAGGACAAATCCACCCTTCATTTACCAAATCTTCATACTGAGGATGCATCTTCCAAAAACTAAAATATTTGAAAGGTTTGGGAAGGGATTGTTTACCAGAATCCAAACTCACCAACAACCCACAGTGATCTGATAAACCTGGTAAAAGAACCTTCACCAAGCTACGAGGATAGGTCTCCAGCCAACCCTCTGTAACAAGGACCCTGTCTAATCTCTTAGCTATTGGAGCTTCAGCCTGTTTATTTGACCAGGTAAACCAAGGACCCAGGGCCTTATGATCAATCAACTTTAAATCCTCAATCCAAGCTTTAAAATCCTGTGAGCTTTCCCCCAAACCCACTGGAATAGAACTCTCAGAACCATCCACTATGGCATTAAAGTCACCTGCCACCATCCATGGAGTTGAAGGACTCACTATCCCAGCAATGTCCCTGTATGTCTGTTTCCTTTCCCCCACATCATTAGACCCATATAGGAAAGTTATTTGAGTAGTACCCCCTTCCTGTAACATACAATGAACGAAATTATTTCCACTATCCACCACACTGAATCTGATTCCCTTCTTCCAGAGCAGCCAGATCCTCCCAACTCCCACCTGCGAGTAAGTTTCCTTGTGATCCCAGCCAGGAAACCTCTCATCCACAATCTTCTGCACTTTATCAGCACTAACTCTAGTCTCTAATACAGCAACAATATCTACTTTATACCTACTAACAGCTTCTAGGATACTACTCTGCTTAGCACCTAAAATATTTTTTGGCCTAAATTCAATGCCGAATGAGTCTCGGCATTTAATTCGATATCGCATGGCCAAAAGGATGTCGTTTGGAGTCGAGCAATACCGCGGAGAATTGAAGCGAGACCGCGAAGAGGCTCGGCGGTACCGCGGTACTTGAAACGACATTGGTTGCAGACCATGTGTGAGTCATGTGCAGGACATGGGTTGCTGTTGGACAAGGAATGTGTTTTATTTTATTTTTTCCTTGTCGGAGGAGGAGAGTAACAACACTGTTTGGAGTCAAGCAATGCCGCGAAGAGATAAAACGGTGCCGCGAACCTCAAAGCTCGACGGCATCGCGAGAGTGGGAAACGGTGTCGTTTGGCTAAAAACGGCACCGCGAATAAACCCAACGACGCCGCGGATAACAATAAACGGTACCGCGAGTAAGCCCAGCGGTACCGCAACACTGGAAACGACACCGCTTGCCGAAAATAAAAAAGGGCCGCGCGTTTAATGGGGTTGGAGGAGGAGTTTTGATTATTTGATTATTATTTTTTATTCCTTGTTGGATGGGGAGAAGCGGCACCGCGGAGAGCTAAAACGGTGCCGCGGAATTAAAAACAGTACCGCAAGGAAGCCCAACGGTACCGCTATACTGGCAAACGACAGTGTTTAATAATAAACAGTGTCGCGGAAGAAAAAAGACAAACGGAGCTGTTTGGGAAAGGAAACGACATCGCGGGATTATGAAAACAACTCACGTAAAGTTCACGCGAAGCAGTTTGAGGAGCGAAGCGGTTGAGACACGTGGGATTTCACAACGGAGCAGTTGAGGAAGCGGTTCCACCGAGCGTGAAGACTACGATGCAGTTTTTCGAATAAAAGCAGTGGAGCAAGGAGAGAGAAGGAGACAACCAAAAATCAACACAGAAACACATCTGTCAAATTTTCCCTTTTTTCTCTGTAACTCCTTCGCGGAGCTCTCCTTCCAGGAAGGATCTCCATAGTTGTAGTCTTAGTTGTAGTCGCGGAGCTCTCCACAGGAATCTCCATAGGAGTAGCGGTAGCGTAGATTCCTCAAAACTCAAACACCCTCGTTCGAACGTAGTTTGGAGAGGTGCGAACCGTAGTAACGGTCGCGTTGGTTAGAAGTCAGAGGTGCATCGATCAGATCAACATCGCTCGGCGGTGGATATTTGACGATCACGTTGATTTCACCATTCAGAGGTGCATCGATCAAATCAACATCGCACGACGGTGGATATTTGACGATCACATCGTTTTCAGAAGTTAGAGTTGCACCGATCAAATCAACGGCGCCGACATTCGGCGGTGGATATTTGACGGTCGTCTCGATTTCAGCTATCAGCGGTGCATTCAATCAGAGGCACCGCAAGAGTTTCCATCGCGAAAGATCAAATCAACATCGCCGGAAACTAATTCGGCAGCGGCGGTGGCATTTGGTTTTCCCGAGGAAACATTTTGGCACACCCGGTGGGACACGTGTGTTTGACATGGCTCTGCGACGAGGAAAAGAAGATTGTGGTCTTCGACAAGGATCCATGGCGGAGGCTCAAATGATCAACATCGAGATTGACGATGTTGTTGGCGGCTCAAGCAACAACGCTGGAGCGGAGGTGCAATCAGTGGCACGAGTCTCCGATCAGGGTGAGATGTTGCGCATACTCCGCCAAGTAGTGGCTGAACTCAGCAGAGATAGACAACAGGTAAATCTAATTTTAACTTCTCTTCATAAAAAAATGAATAATCTTGAAAAAAACAAAGATCAATGGTTTGATAAGTTGGACGACTCTGTTTCTGATTTTAATATGTCAATACGTGGAGCCACGTATGATTTTGATGTGTTTAAATCTCGAACCATGTCTGTTGTGTGTGAGGATGCGAGAGTTGGTCGAATAGCTAATGTCAACCAAACTCCATCATCGATGGCTACAACATTGTTGCCAGAAGTGAGTGAATCCAATGTGTTCTTTCCTGTGAACAACGTTGTTCTAAAGGACACACCAATTGGAAGTGGCTTGCAGAAGCCACTACAAAGAAGTCAGTATCGACTTACTTCTAGTAAGATTGAAAACAAGAACCAGGGTCGAGAACCTTGTTACAATCACGTCGAGCATATCAAGCTCACGTATGATGGGTTGTCCAAGCAACATCGCAATGGTGTTCAATCTAAGCCGCTAGGGAGGCATGAGATCCCACCGCATGGTCGGTTGATGGAAAAACAACATCGCAAGTGGCAAATAAGTTTGCCAAATCTGTCCTATTCTAGGAAAATTCAAACAAGGATGGCAGCAAAAACTTTGCAGTGTGGGGGTGGTAGCCACGTGAAAAAACCCAACGCCATCAAAGTTGGCATGAATCAACAGAATCCTCTATGTAAATTGTCCCCAAAACCTTCACTGAGTATAGAGGGGGGCAAGTTCGATCAAACCCGACATGGGGTTGCCATACCAGTGCTGGCTGGGAACAAATCCATGAGTGGTGGTCTGGGGGGCAAGGCCAATGCCAAACAAACTCCAAACTCACGTGGAATTTTAAAAGGGGCAACGTTGTTGTGTGATAGGTGAAAAAGTTATGTTCGTGCTAAGCAAAATACCAACGCACCTGTTGATGAAAAGTTTCGGCGCTCATACTCCCAACAGCATGGTGAAAATGCGAATGTCACAAAATCTAACCAGGCTAGGCAAGCAATCCTTCATGGTCAACTTGGCAAGACAAAAGTGCCAAGAAACTCGAATGTTTTGCCTAGGGTCAAGAACGCTTATGGTTTTCCAGCCAGCGAGGTTGGGAAGAGGAGGCCAAATCATGATCGTGGAATTTCAAACAAAGGTGTTCAAGCTCGACGAACTGGGGAGTTGCAAACCAACATTGGTTCCAAAATATCAAAACCAACATGTGTGAAACCAACGAGTCAGGGAATTTATGGATGGCTCATTTGGTTTGATGTGTGGAGTTGGCAGTGGGTTTGGACTTTTGGCAGGATGGTTTATGCCAATGCCGATCTTGTTTTTGTTTAGCTATTATTAAAATGAATAAAATATGGCCAAGTTAGGCCACGGTGATATATATATTTTTAAAAAAAAAGGAGAAAAGAAAAAATATTATAAAAAATAATAATCAAGCGGCATTGTTAAAAAGAAATAGGTGTTGTCAATAGTTCAAGATGGCAAACAGTGTTGTTCTCTCTTTTCTCAATAGTGATGGAGGGATGCACAATGCCGTGGAAATTTTTTTTTACCGCAACGTTGTTTGCTGGCTGCAATTCTGTTGCTAGCTGCATCGTTGGCAAAAATGAAAAAAAAAAAGAAGTCCTCCAAGATAAATAATAATAATAATAATAATAATAATAAAAAATCTTGCAGCCTTGCAAGGCTCAACAACATGAGGCCATTAATTATTTAATTGGCTCTTCGGGTTAGAGAAAAGAGAAGTTCTGTTGGGATCAAAACGCGGCAGTTTTGCCTTAAAAAAATGTTGCTACGTAAAATTTGGCTAAACAACGCTGCGGGGGAAAAGTTGTTACGGTGAGACAAGCACAGCAGTGTTGCAAGTAAATGATTTTATATTATCTTATTTCTGTGAGGCCGCACTGCTGGTGGGTGATAAAAAGAGTCCAAGCGGCATTGGGAACTTGCCGCAGCATTGCGGGCAAAGAAAGAGAGCAAACAGCCCTGAAGCGCTTGTTGCAGCGTCGCTGGCAAGTAAAAAAAAAAACCAAAAAAATAGACGCCACCGTTTGTGATGAAGCAACGCTGCAAGGAAGGATGGCGTGGTTATTGGGGAAAAAGAAAAAAAAATAATAAACAAAATACCGCCAAAACAGCAGCGTTGATGGAGAAAGAAGAAGGAAATCAAAGCTGTTTGGGACAAAAACGGTGTTGCGAGGCCACACAACTTGCCAGTATTTAGGGGTGGAGCAACGTTGTTGGGTGAGTTAGTTCTTTGGTTGCAGCATTGTGAAAGTAAAAGGAGTCCAAGCGGGCATTGGTATCCTAGCACAGTTTTTTTTTTTGAGGGATATCCTAGCACAGTTTTGATTGGCCAGCTTATTTATAATAAAAAAAAAAGGAGAAGAGATTCGGCGGCAGCAGCTTGGACAAGTAAGGATGCAACGCTGAAAGGAATCTTTTGGGCCAGAGCAGCGTTGTTGAAAAAAAAAAATTTGCAATGTTGCACTGGCCGTAGCCATGATGCAAGGCTAATACTGTTTTAGAAACCAAATTGTATTTGGGGAACTTGATCAAGTTTTGGCCGCATGATTGCATGGCAACTTGGTAGCTACATGGTTTTGTGATTTTAATTGGAGTTGCCACTTAATGGAATTTTAGGTTCGGGTGATTAAATTGTGTCAACAACTTGGTTCATAAATTCTTATAAACCAAGTTGTGGGGGGCATTGTTTACACCTAAAATATTTTTTGGCCTAAATTCAATGCCGAATGAGTCTCGGCATTTAATTCGATATCGCATGGCCAAAAGGATGTCGTTTGGAGTCGAGCAATACCGCGGAGAATTGAAGCGAGACCGCGAAGAGGCTCGGCGGTACCGCGGTACTTGAAACGACATTGGTTGCAGACCATGTGTGAGTCATGTGCAGGACATGGGTTGCTGTTGGACAAGGAATGTGTTTTATTTTATTTTTTCCTTGTCGGAGGAGGAGAGTAACAACACTGTTTGGAGTCAAGCAATGCCGCGAAGAGATAAAACGGTGCCGCGAACCTCAAAGCTCGACGGCATCGCGAGATTGGGAAACGGTGTCGTTTGGCTAAAAACGGCACCGCGAATAAACCCAACGACGTCGCGGATAACAATAAACGGTACCGCGAGTAAGCCCAGCGGTACCGCAACACTGGAAACGACACCGCTTGCCGAAAATAAAAAAGGGCCGCGCGTTTAATGGGGTTGGAGGAGGAGTTTTGATTATTTGATTATTATTTTTTATTCCTTGTTGGATGGGGAGAAGCGGCACCGCGGAGAGCTAAAACGGTGCCGCGGAATTAAAAACAGTACCGCGAGGAAGCCCAACGGTACCGCTATACTAGCAAACGACAGTGTTTAATAATAAACAGTGTCGCGGAAGAAAAAAGACAAACGGAGCTGTTTGGGAAAGGAAACGACATCGCGGGATTATGAAAACAACTCACGTAAAGTTCACGCGAAGCAGTTTGAGGAGCGAAGCGGTTGAGACACGTGGGATTTCACAACGGAGCAGTTGAGGAAGCGGTTCCACCGAGCGTGAAGACTACGAAGCAGTTGTTCGAATAAAAGCAGTGGAGCAAGGAGAGAGAAGGGGACAACCAAAAATCAACACAGAAACACATCTGTCAAAATTTCCCTTTTTTCTCTGTAACTCCTTCGCGGAGCTCTCCTTCCAGGAAGGATCTCCATAGTTGTAGTCTTAGTCGTAGTCGCGGAGCTCTCCACAGGAATCTCCATAGGAGTAGCGGTAGCGTAGATTCGTCAAAACTCAAACACCCTCGTTCGAACGTAGTTTGGAGAGGTGCGAACCGTAGTAACGGTCGTTCTTGGTTAGAAGTCAGAGGTGCATCGATCAAATCAACACCGCCCGACGGTGGATATTTGACGGTCACGTTGATTTCATCATTTAGAGGTGCATCGATTAAATCAACGGCGCCGACATTCGGCGGCGGATATTTGACGGTCGTCTCGATTTCAGCAATCAACGGTGCATTCGATCAAACGGCACCGCAAGAGTTTCCACCGCGAAACATCAAATCAACATCGCCGAAAACGAATTCGGCACCGGCGGTGGCATTTGGTTTTTTCCGGGGAAACAATTATCCATGAATCCAAATAACATCCTCAACCAAGGACCAATATGTAAAATATGAAAAGTTTAGGGACTAAAATGTCATAATGAAAAATTTTAGATACCAAAACATAATTTTCCAATGATATTTTCGTATAAAAAATTAAATTTTGGGTACCAAAATGTAAAATATAAAAAGTATAGGTACCACACATAATTTGCCATTTGGATCTATAGATCAATCCATGAATCCACTAATCCAACTGGATTTGGATCAAATGAATTGGATTTAAATGGTTTAGATTAGATGGATATTTTTAATGAGTTTTTTTTTTTACATGAAGACACTGTATTCATTAATCGAAAGTGGAGGGGAACCAGGTTACAAAAGAGGAGACAAAATCTCAAGGACTTGGATCCAATCATGCGGAAGCTGGTTCTTAGCACGGGATCTAGCAACCCAATCCGCCCTAGAGTTGAGCTTCCTACTGACATGCTCAATTCTAATCCGAGGGAAAGAGGTGCAAAGATCTCTGATGGTCCCAATCCGTGCCGCAACCCGCCAGGGCCATGGTTCCAGGGAACCTTGAACTGCCTTAACAAGGGAGAGACAGTCTGACCTGATGAGACACAGAGCGTTAAGCAGGGTCGCAGCCCGCGTTCCCTCGAGGAGGGCCATAGTTTCCACTTCAATCGGTGAACTGCAGTGTAAGGGTTCAGCCTTCCCGTCACAAATTTGACCATGGCTATTGGAAATGACAACGCCATAAGCCGCCTCCTGGGAATCGTGCAAGAACGATCCATCACAGTGTACCTCAAAGTCATGAGGACCTGGCGGTGGTGAGCTTTGATCGGGGTGTGGGATAGGCTGAGGTAGAGTCTGAGGCTGCTTTCTCAAAGATGGACATGTTGTCCATTGTTGGAAGCTGCCCGCAGCTTGACTGAGAGTGTCAGGCGGCCAGATCCGCTTGTTCCTGAAGATGCATTCATTTCTCGCCTTCCACGTGTGCCACATGAGGTAGATGATTTTTTGAATTGAGGGAAGTGAGAATCTTTGGGTGAGGGAATGCAACCATTCAAGTATGTTTGTGTGCTGTTGAGGAAGACACAGTGCAGGCCAAGCTTCTTTCCATCCTTCTGCTGCCAGAGGGCAGTAGAAAAGGCAGTGATGGGTGTTCTCAATGCCTCCCCTGCAGATAGGACATTCGTTGGATGGAGAGCAACGTCGTGAGTGCAGGTTATCTTTCGTGGCCATTGCCCCTGTGCTGCATTTCCATATAAAGAATTTCATTTTCGGGGGCAGGGAGATGCTCCAAAGCCATTTCCATCTCTCCTTTGAGCTAAATGGTGTCTCTTGAAAATCCCTTTGAGCCCTTCTGTTTTGATTGTGGAAGGAGTGGAATGCGGACTTAACTGAGAACACTCCTTGGTCGAAGAACACTCCTTGGTGAATTGGATTGAGAATTGCCGGTGGCTATTGGTAGGAATTCCGACTTCAAAACTAGCCCACATCACACTAAAGCACTAGCAACATATTTTTAAATTATAGGTTTGAAGAATGTCCTTCAAGTTCGAGGCCAAAATACACACCATTCTTTATCAACCTAATTCTGCACTAAACAAATTCCGCTTGTCCCAAACGAGTTCGAATCCTTGTTCCACAAATCACTCGCGGCACTACTCTAGAAGACTTAATCTGCATATACCAAACACGAGGCTTCCCAGCAAAAGAAGCTATCCGGAATTGCACAAAGCACTTCTAAATACCGACTTCAAAGTATACCACTGAAATCGGTAGCAAAGCTTGCAGATTCTTGCAAGATTGTGAACATCTGATAAGTTTCGTGGGGAAGGGAAAGGGAGGACAGCTGAGTAGTACATTTGAAGCGGATGATCCTATCCGACATCTGCTCTCTCCATCCCCAAAGGATATACAGATTTTTAAGACTATGTTCTCCTCGATTTCGCAAAAGAACAGACGCAAAATATACTCCGTCGCTTGCTGATATCAAAGAAACGTCCTCAGGGACTTGGTGATACCTCTGACGAGTTCTCGTGCAATAACACATATTCTCGGCTGCAGAAAACCAGGCACAGTAAATCATTAGGGGCAGGATCAAACAGAAATATTGCATGAAAAAATCAGCTACAGCTTTCCAATTTTCAGGCGCCAATGCTCTAAACGTAGAAGCAACTTGTCACACGACTAAGGCCACTCGAACAACTTTAAACATGCAGTCAACACGCTCAGGATGGAAACGCAGCACCAAGTCATGATAGCCCCCAAAGACACTTGGACAGGACCAACAAAGCAATGAATCAACAGAGGTGCAGCAGGCAATGTAATGCTGATGGCAAGTAACAGACATCAGTACCGCTCACAAAACATAGACAAGGAGAACTCAGCTAAAAATGCTTCAGATAATCGAAAAGGTTAGTACAGCATTCAGATAAAATCATCCAAGCACAACAGAATGGCTAACTAAGCCAAAATCATCCAAGCACAATGGAAGCTGATTTACCTTGGATGGTTAGTCACTAATTAATAATGACAAAGTTTTAAACTCCAGCTCAGGAAGTACATGTCGAGAAATGATTAGGTTGCCTACCTACTATTACCAAACTTAATTGTGTCTTTTTCGAAAAGCTCATAGTAACGCTCGGGCTCAATGGGTTTCTCCTGCAAACACCAGAAAAGCTGTTCAGACGTGATTACATGAATAACTAACCATAGAAGTCGTGCTGAATATTGGTAAAAGAGTATGTGCCTCACATTAATGAAAGTCTTGTTAGTGCTTCCAAGGTCCATCAAGTAAGGGCTATCATCCATACAGAGAACAAAGAAGTCAGCATAAGCAGAAGACACTAAACTGCACCTTATTACAGAAATTTTAAATAAATAAAAAAACTGTTGATTCTTACCTTACTTGCTTAGATATGGTACCATCAGATCGTTCCTTTTCTACTTGCCTAACAAGTCAACGAAATAAAATCAGAAACACGCCCAACAACATCAATTAAAATTCTTGAGCAACCACCTATAGATCTACCGGAATTGAATGACAGCATGTTGCTTGCTGCAGGATGGGTGGTCCGTAGGGACATCTGCCACCCTTCTCTCTCTACCAAAAAGATAACAACTTTGCCTGTGTATATAGAGAGGTTCTGTTCATTGAGACACAATAGAAACAGGAAACAAAGTCAGCACCATTATCCAAACAAAATGGATGCAAGTGTCAACAGAATTTGATAGCCAAACAGTATTCCAATATGTAAACTTTAGTACTCAATAGAAGAAACTAGGATTAAGTTCTTTGCTGGCCTGAGCCAAGTATCTAACAAACATGATTTGTTGCAGCAGCGAACTGTCGCTTTGTGCAAGTGCAACTAACAAAAGCAGCAATTACAATCATTGCACAAGCTGCATCACACATGCGCAAAACAAGAGTCGAGAAACCAAGACTCACCATTCAGCACTTCACCACCCTTAAAAACATAAAGCCTCCATCTTATGTTGGGTTTCCGGGCCTCTGGAGGCTCATTAAACAGTAGAGTAACACCTGCCCCAATAAAATAGCAGACCAGCAAATGAGAGGCATCAGACAGAAAGCACACAGCCAGTAATTCTGTAATTGTGATTGTTTGACGACTCAGCAAAGCCAGCTTAATCAGTTTACATCATCAGAAGTCGTTGCTAGCATCACTTGTAATCCATAGGATGCAACAGAGGATCGGAAATTATAGTAATATGCCAGCACAGGAAGCAGACAAACAGAGTTTATGGCAAATAAAAAAAGTCATTTAATGAATGTCTGAACATTGTCAAGCTACTCTTAATACAGCCATTGAGAGAAAGGGTTCCAACACCTACTGCAGCTGGAATGTGTTGACATCACATAATAATTTAAATGAGTTGCATGCTAACATTCCAGTTCTCCACATATACCAAAACATGAAAGACAATGAAACAAGCATAAAAAACTATACTACTCCTAGCAGACATAAGTAATCGAATCTGTCAGATATGTGACAGAGCTAATAAAACAGGGAACTGTAGGAAAAAATGCAAAAACACCAACCTCGAACCCTATTAGTTTCCGCAGCAAGTTTCCCAGACAGCTCAAATGATGGTTTTTGCTGCAAGCCAATGTCATGCATCAACAACATTAGATATAGGGAAGTAGGACCAAGGCACTCTTGCATCTCCCTAATGATCAGAAACAAGACTATATTCCACAAATTTAGTTACTGTCTTACTTTTTGGCTCGCTTCCAAGGCCTCTTCAGCCTCTTTCATCTTAGCTACAGAATCATCCTCGTAATTTCTGTGGAATCAACAAATATAATTAACACCATGATGAGCAGATCATAATATTGTGATGTACGAAGGCCAACCAAAGCCCATAATCATGCTACGCTGTCACTATGCCCTCTAATGGAAAAACGGAAAGGATCAAATTCACTAGTATAGTTGGGTGACATAAGGTTTCTTCATATGTTCTGCGCTTCTAAAGATAAACTATTGCGAAATAAGCAACAAGCGTAACCCTGGTCAGTGGTAGAATCTAATGGCTTTCGTAATATGGTGAAGATTTTCCCAGCTAGGTTATCTGAGAATTCTACTTCCTTGGAGTAAAGGACACCTATCATTCACATTACTCACTCACTTTGATGGAATTGAAGATGTAATAATCATAAACCATAAGTGTTACACAGAAGAACAAATACAAAGAGCAAGTAATCAAACATTTGCCTCGACTAAGGAATAGATGGAAAAATAGACTCCGGCAAGGATCTTACCTTCTATCCGCTCCTCCATAGTTGGTGACCTAAAATAAACAATTCCATATGAGTTGACATTTAAACCAAAATGCAGCAACTGGAGTATAGGACTAATAAGAGCAAGAGCCTCGCTGACTAAAGAAGGCAGCAGAAATTCACAGAGATTCATCTGGGCAAGATTAAGTCTTTTCAGTTATTTGCTTTGACAAACATTCAGAAAATTGAAGAGAGAAAAGATATTCACTTGCATTAAATGCCAAACACAATAGAAGGCCACATTTTAGGCAGGGGAACAAAAAGTAATTAGATAGAAATAGTCACTAGGAAGTAGGAATAGATATCACCAGACACCTCGTCGCGTTCTGTTTTCTGAGCAGCTCTTCGAGGTGACTGAGACCCAAAGCTTCTCTTGTGGTGCCGATCAGTTGGAGAAAGAGAACGCTCATGTCTATCACTAGATAATTTTCTGTCCATTTCATCTCTACTATGCTTCCTCTCCCCACTATTTTCCCTATCTTCTGTACCTCTTGCTTTATAGGCAGCCTTATCACCTCCACTCCCATGGCCCTTGTCATTTTCCCTGTCAATCACCTTGTGAGCCTCCCTTTCCCTATGCGCTCCTCCTTTACCATGAGTTCTTTCACGCTCTCTTTCAGGACCCTCCCTGTCCTTATGGGTAACCCTATCCCTTTCCCTGCCACGATTCCTTCCATGGTCTCTACTATCACCCAGTTTATCCGCCTCTCTCTCCGCTTGCACTCGCCTTAGTCTCTTAGAACGTGGGGAAAGAGAAGCAGACCTTTCACCATTAGGGGACTTACTATTAGCACGTCTTCTGTCTTTTGGCGATGGAGAGGCATCCCGCCGTGAGTTCTTTTGCCGGGCTACTGGTGAAGGCGAAATATCTCTACGGGAACTTCTGTGTCGTGCTGCTGCCCTTTCAGCAGGTGGGGAGCTCCTCCGACCTCTGACTCTGTCTGGGGATACCGAATGATCGGACAAATGACGACCCATTTCCTGCTAAGTCACTAGAATTGAACAGAAGAAAAGAACCAGTTAGCATAGTAAGGGTACTGCTCAAAGAACACGAAGTGAAGATGGAAGAATGCCGAATCCATTACAATGTCAAACCAAGCAAACCCTAATCTGGCGATCTTCTAAATTTTTCATCAGCCCATAAGAGAACTGACTTACTGCTCACAGGCTTTCCAAAGGAATCGACTCGACCTTTTCCCGAAGAACTTCAGCGCTATTGTCTCCAGTCCACCACGCTCTTGTGTGCAAAAGACCGCCAAAACCAGCTGGGCCGGCGGGTTGGGCTGTTACCCGGGACAGAGGTTTGTGTTCGCATTTCGCAAAACCCCACCCCATAAACCCTCAAAATTGAAGGGCTTTTGGGATGATTGAAATTCAATGTCGGTTGGAGGTTGATGATTTTTGGAAGTAGAATTTCAATAGGTAAATTAGATAACAATATATAGATGGATATTTTTAATGTGAAACATTATTTAATGGTTAATGTGAACATATTAGAGGCAACGTTTAGAAAAAAATTGTGGTAGATATTAGATAAGCAAATTATCTTATTATCCCTTTTATATTTGAAGTTTGAACAACATACTATTCGTGGGATAGAACATTGTGGTTCTTCATTCCATCATTTTTTTAACACTTGTGCTCTTTCCTTTTGATAAAAAAAAAAAACACCTTTTCAACTATAAAATTGAAAAAAAAACAATTATCTTTGACTAAAATTTTTACCTATCTCAACTTTTGATGAAATCGAGATAGTTACCTTTCAGAAAAGGAAAATTCTAACGATAGTAGAACGACTACGCTTTCTTCTTCTGAAGGTGGGAGAAAAGATAAAACGGATTAGTACTCAAAAAAATTCTAGTTTGAAACTCATGGAATGCAATTAACCTCTTTTGGTTAACTCGAGAAAAGATGGGGCGGGGATGCTAAAAGAATTGATTGCTGAGCCGTATGAGACGATTGTTTCTGACATACCAACCAAATATTATATATTAATGTTCTTGTAGAAAAAAATAAAGAAATTATTTACACTAAAAAATGCAATTAGTATAACAATCTCACTAAAATGATGGTAGAAATGAAACTATATCTATGTACTTTATGCTCTATACTAGATCGAGCACTCCAAGAGAAACGAGCATAATATCAAAAACCATATCTTTACTCAATGGGGTTTCAGATATCCACGGTTATCCATAAATAATATATATATTTTTTGTATAACTTCAACCAATATGTTAACAATACGGAGAGTTCTACGGTACCCAGGGTGAAATCCGGGGTACCACATACCTTGAGTAAGAAAACGCTATCCAGAACTTGCATTGACTGATCTTTCGGACATGATACTATACTCTACCCTTAAAGATCAAAATCTATGTCTTAATTCTCTAAATCTTATACCCCAAGATCAATTTAATTAGAAACAATAATCAACGGTTATGATTCGTCCAAATATAGGCAAAAAAGTCAATGCACCATCTTAGGGTTTATAGTTTATGATTTAGATAATTAGGACATAGGGTTCTCTCATTAAGGGTTCAGGTATAGTATCATGCCCAAAAATCCTGTTAATTCGAGGTCTAAATAGTGTTTTCATACTCAAGTTATGCGGTACCCCGAATTTCACCCGGGGTACCATGGAAGGCCCCTAACAATACACGTATTATGATATCACTTTATAACAATAAGTTATTAAAATGAAGAAATTTAGTTAAGAACAATAAAGTTTATGAAAGTTAGTTAAAAACAATAAATTACTTGCTAAGTTGCAGCCTCACTAGACTGTCTATGAAGATGTAACACATTAGTCAAATCCCAGATGGCCACATCAACAAAGCACGAGAGAGATCCATGGTTAATAAGTAGGAAACCGACCTTAACTGACAAGACGCGTTTTGGAGTGAAACGAAGGAGTTCTTGTGAGAACTCCAAAGTTAAACGTGCTCAGTGCGGAGTGCAACAAGGAGGAAAAAATCCCAAGTTACACATGTTTTTAAAAAAAATTCTCAAAATACACACGTTAAGAAAATAATTCTCAATCTACGCATGTTTGGGCCATCACCGCTGTCGACGAAGACAGTGATTGCATCACCGCTTTCGACGAAGACAGTGATTGCATCACCGCTTTCGATGAAGACAGTAATTGCATCACTGCTGTCGACAAAGACAGTGATTGCATCACTGCAGTACACGGCCGCGGTGAAGGCCTAACCTGCGTCGAAACTTTAAACAAACGTAACTTTGTGCTCGGTTATCCGATCGTAGCGAAATTTTTTTTGATTCCACATAATTTTTCAAGATCTTGCAAGCCGCAAATTGCCTTAGGCGGTTTGGTCCCGCCTTCGTCTCGAAAATATGTCGTTTGCTACCCCGAACGAGCCTTTTTTCGATTTCGTCAAACTTTGAACGACCATAACTTTGTGCTCCACAATCCGAAAATCATGAATTTTTTTTTTATTTCGTATAACTTTTTAAGGAATACAATTTTTATCATAGACATATTTTCGGAATGTACTTGGATTCCTGAAAAGGAAGGTAAAGTTATTCCCAAAACCCCTTATATCCATAAATAATTCATTTTTTGAAAATTCTCTCCTACTAAATATTGTAGTCCTTAAAAAGTTATGCGAAATAAAAAAAAATCATGATTTTCGGATTGTGGAGCACAAAGTTATGGTCGCTCAAAGTTTGACGAAATCGAAAAAAGGCTCGTTCGGGGTAGCAAACGACATATTTTCGAGACGAAGGCGGGACCAAACCGCCTAAGGCAATTTGCGGCTTGCAAGATCTTGAAAAATTATGTGGAATCAAAAAAAATTTCGCTACGATCGGATAACCGAGCACAAAGTTACGTTTGTTTAAAGTTTCGACGCAGGTTAGGCCTTCACCGCGGCCGTGTACTGCAGTGATGCAATCACTGTCTTTGTCGACAGCAGTGATGCAATCAATGTCTTCGTCGATAGCGGTGATGCAATCACTGTCTTCGTCGACAGCGGTGATGGCCCAAACATGCGTAGATTGGGAATTATTTTCATAACGTGTGTATTTTGAGAATTTTTTTTAAAAACATGTGTAACTTGGGATTTTTTCCCAACAAGGATGGGTGACCTTATGGGAAGTCACCCTGAATTGCACCCCAAGTCGAAACTCGTGTGGTGTAGAGGCCCAGAGCGGACAATATCTTGTCGGGAAAAAGTTCAGGATGTTACAAGTGGTATCAGAGCCTCTCCGCGTCCCTCTTGAACGATGGTGGGGCAAAGCTCAACGAGGGCGTTGAGTCCCAGGGGTGTATGTAACTAGGGATGTCAATCCAACCCGTAACCATGGGTACCCTACCCGACCGTAACCGGTCAACGAGGGTAATTACCCGCTTTGACGGGTTAAGGGCGGGTACGGGTAATACCCGGTTTCAAAATAAAGGGTAGGGTACGGGTATGGTAATCGATAATACCCGCTCCGTTATACCCGCCCCGCTAACCAAAGGGTCAATTTCCCTTGAGAAATTTAGATTAGCTTGAGAAATTGAGTTTATCTACCAGTATTGATGATGAAGATGTAGACGATTATTATGTTTGTGTGGATTGTAGAAGCAAGAACAATTATTATGTGTTTGCTATTTTTATTTGTGTAGATTGTTGACGCTCGAACAGTTACAAGTATTGAGAATTTTTTTTTATAAAGAAGTATTGAGAATTTTTAATGGACAACAATATCTATGTGCATATATGTGTATAAGTTCATAGTTTAGGATTTGTACCCATGGTTACCCGAATACCCGTGGTTACGCGGTGGGTAGGGTATGGTTATATAATTTTCATACCCGGTGATTATTTGGTCGGGTATTTTAGAAAGCTCTACCCGGTGGGTTAGGAGTTGGTATAGGGTAAACCCGCACCCGACCCTACCCATTGCCATCCCTATATGTAACACCTTAGGCAAATCCCACATCGGCAATGCACCGGAGAGATCCATGGTTCATAAGTAGGAAACCGACCTTAACTGACAAGACGCGTTTTGGGGTGAAACGAATGAGTTATTGTGAGAACTCCGAAATTAAACGTGCTCAGTGCGGAGTACAACAACGATGGGTGACTTTATGGGAAGCCACCCTGAATTGCACCCCAAATTGAAATCCGTGCGGATTTAGAGGCAAAAAACGGACTGTATCTTGATGGGAAAAAGTTCGGGATGTTATAAAGAAGATTGTTATATTTTTTTGGATAATGTCTATTTTTTATCCAAATCTTTTTCAGATTCTTTTATATTATCCAAACCTATTAAAATACTAAGAATTAGCCAAATGTTAACTTTTTGTTAGCAATTTAGTTAGTAATATTGACTTGACAACATGCTACTTACTTGGAAGAGATACACGAAGGTCGACATTCCAAAATTTTAGTATTTTAACTAAGAAAAGAGTTACAAAATTATTAACGATAACGTAAAAATGACTAATATTTTGATGCATTACGAAAGATTTGGCTAATTAATAGCATTTCAATAGGTTTGGATAATAGAAAAGAATATAAAAACGGTTAGGATATAAAATAGACATTGCCCTATTTTTTTTTTCAGGTTTTGTCATTTAGCAAGATTCATATGCAATATTAGCATCTTCTCAACCTCTCCAAAATAATGTTCGAACGTATGTCCATTCTAAATTCAGTTATTTACTCCCATGAATGAAGAAAGAAACCTTTTTTTTCTCTCAAGTCAATACATGTTGCAGCTGCAAAAACAAACGCCACTCTGTTTTGGCCACCACTTCTTCAGGTACGCCATTCAACCCTGATCGATCCTTTGTAACTTCTTCAGCACAAGCTAGAAACGAACTGAGACAATGCCAACAGAAGACGAACTGGTCTGGGTGAATGGCTTGGGAACAATCTGCTACCCAACCAACCCTAGCAGTTTCAACTTCTACTGTTTATATATGGGAAGGCTGGGAAACTGCCATGTCGCTCTCAAGTTTCCAGGCCATTCGTCTACCACGTGAGCCTGCGTTGCCGTATCAAATATAAAATCTAGCGGTCCCAAGACGCCAAATCCATTACAAACTTAACCAACAAAGCCTCCGACTTTGAAGAAAATCTGCTAAATGGCCATCAGAGCAGCAGCTACTTCCGCACCGACCGCTCGCAGTAGCTCTGCCCTCTCGCTGCCGCCTCCCATTTCGTCTTCCTCCTCCTACTCTTCCGCTCAGCTGAGCTTCGGGCGCGCCAAATCCACAACTCGACCCCGCACCACTGTGGGGTGCGCTATCTCCTGCACCATGACCAGAGAGGCGGCGGCTGTTACCTCGACGGAGAAGGATGATTCCGACCCGGCTCTGTGGAGTCGACCCGACTCGTTCGGCCGGTTCGGCAAGTTCGGCGGCAAGTACGTCCCCGAGACTCTCATGTATGCTCTCACTGAGCTCGAATCCGCCTTCAATTCCGTCAAGAACGACCCTGATTTTCAGGCAAGTAAACTGTGCATTTCCGCTGTTAAAGTAGGGAATCTTTTTGGGGAAAATCGCCAAATCGGTGTATTTCATTACGTAATTGAATCTGTTGTGTGGATGAGTGAAGCAAACTGTAATATGCTGGATATGTGATTTGGGTTCTGATTCCTGGGAACTGGTGAACCCATTTGGAATGCAGGCAGAACTGGGCGGTATTTTGAAAGACTATGTCGGAAGGGAGACTCCTCTTTACTTCGCTGAACGGCTCACCGATCATTACAGGCGTCCGAATGGTGAAGGGCCACACATTTACCTGAAGAGGGAGGATCTGAACCACACTGGCGCTCACAAGATCAACAATGCCATTGGCCAAGTTCTGCTGGCGAAGAGGTTGGGCAAGAAGCGGATCATTGCAGAGACTGGAGCTGGTCAGCACGGGGTTGCCACTGCTACTGTCTGTGCAAGGTTTGGGTTGGAATGTATCATCTATATGGGCGCGCAGGATATGGAGAGACAATCCCTTAATGTGTTTAGGATGCGGCTTCTGGGAGCTGAGGTGAGAGGGGTTCATTCTGGGACGGCCACTCTTAAAGATGCTACATCAGAAGCTATAAGGGATTGGGTGACCAACGTGGAGTCGACTCATTATATTCTAGGTTCTGTTGCTGGTCCGCATCCGTATCCAATGATGGTGAGGGAGTTCCACAAGGTAATTGGTGAGGAAACTAGAAGGCAAGCAATGGAAAAATGGGGTGGGAAGCCAGACATCCTTGTCGCGTGCGTTGGTGGTGGTTCGAATGCGATGGGATTGTTTGAGGATTTTGTCAAGGACAAAGATGTTAGGTTGATTGGCGTGGAGGCTGCAGGTTTAGGTCTGGATAGCGGTAAGCATGCTGCAACTCTGACTAAAGGAGAAGTTGGTGTATTGCATGGAGCTATGAGCTATTTGTTACAAGATGATGATGGGCAAATCATTGAGCCTCACTCCATTAGTGCTGGGTAACATTTGTGAATTCATAGGTTGCTTTTTGGTTTGACTATTACACCTTTGTCGTTCGTAGTTCATTGTGGCCTTGTTGGAATAGGTTGGATTACCCTGGAGTTGGACCTGAGCATAGCTTTCTGAAAGAGAAAGGCCGTGCTGAATACTATTGTGTCACTGATGAGGAGGCACTAGAAGGTATGGAAGCTCTTCCTAGGCTGTGCTTTCTTTTGCTATGCTCTTGAATAGGCCATTTTTGTGATTATTAGTACTGTGTTTTGGCTTGTGCATCTGAATATGTTCTTTGTATAACAAATTTCCAATTGCCAATCCTGCTTTATATATTTCATATGCTTTTCCTGACTACTAGTTCCTTGGAGAGCTCATGTGGTGCATTTAATATTTTGGCTAACCTCACTGGTGCTTGAGAGTAAGTCGCAACCTGATCAGTTTTCATACGCCTTAAAGATATAGGAGAACATGTTAGTTTGCCTGAGGTTGTGATTGATCAATGCTAATTGGTCAACTGGTTGAAATCCATTAACATGTCGTATAATCAGCCTAGAACCATAGTTTTGGCTGTGGAAGACAACTATACTCTGTACTTCCATATACATAGCTAGACTATCCCCTTGTTCAGTGGGTTTGCTCCTTTCAGACACCAGAAGAACTCCCTTTTTTGGCACAGCTTCACGATGTAAAGGCAATCCATCTGACTACTTCTTTTCACCCGTGCAGCATTTAAGAGAGTATCAAGACTAGAAGGCATAATCCCGGCTCTGGAGACATCTCATGCTTTGGCTTACCTTGAGAAGCTTTGCCCAACCCTCCCTGATAAAACTAAGGTCGTACTGAACTGCAGCGGCCGAGGGGACAAGGATGTTCAGACTGCCATCAAGTACTTGAAAGTCTGAACAGTAAAGCTTAGATGAACTGCCTCTGCAGATTTTCCTTCTCTTTCGACATACGGGAACAATAAGCAAAATACTAATAGGTGGTGAGTTCCAACTTGGTGGTGTAAGCTGAAGGCTCTTCTGACAAACTCTGGTACCAGAAAGGCATTTTGTCAATTAGTCTATCTATGTATGATCTCAGTCGAGCTAATAATAAGTATGCTTGTTGCATTTTCTTTCTTGAAACATTAGCCTTAGAAGCTTCGTTGAAGAATCATGGAATGTACTCAAGATTGCATGCATCTCTTACACTACCACTGGAATGTATTGTTAAGAGTAGTGGGAAAGCAAATATAGTACGAGCAAATTTCCAACCAGTGGACAGAAACAGGATCATCCTAATTACTATCCCACGTCAACCACAAGAAGATATAAGGTTTAGAGGAAATGAAGTGGAGAGGTAGATCCCAATAAATTGGAAGACTCTGGAGTCTCAGATTGCCTCTTTTATGGGCTGGCTGGGCGAGGAGGGTTTGGATCTGCGAAGTCTTAGGTTTGACAATCTTAGGTTTGTTAGGACAACGCAATTGTAAAGTCAAGACCATAGTCCATACTCCATAGAGAGTTCAAAAGTAAGTCCACAAGACAAGAAACGGTGTGGGGAGGGTTTTCTTCCCTCTCTTAGTTTTATTCCGCCAAAACAACGTAAAATGGCAAGTACAATGTCACTCAGCTCAGCCTATTTCAATCTCGTTTCAGCAAAGCTTGTTGCTACTGCGGCTACTAATGAAACAACATTATTATCATCAGTCCTACTGTCATGTCTTTCTCGCTCTCTTTTAACTATTTCACCTTATTATCTACAAAAAGGCCGAAAAAGAAAATCTATAGCAAAAAACCAAACACTAGTCCTCATATTGTTGGCATTTTACCCACCATCCTCTTTTAACAATTTCTCCTTTTACTTCACCATCCACATTCTACCTTTGCTTAACAAAACTAACATGAATTGTTTTCAAACATTTCTTCTTATTCTTCCCCAATTTTGGATCACTGCTTAGCCTGCATTCAAACACCAAACAAAACTTCCCATCAGTCGAGCATCAAAGCTTTAAGGGTTGTTTCAGCAAACAAAAAGCATACTCCAACCTAATGGTTGGCTTAGAAGAAATATAAAATAAGAGCATATTCTCCACATGATGCTTTGGCTTTTTGCTTGTACCAAGTCAATCTTTTGACTTTGGATAATCACAAAGAAGAAAGCATATTCTAAGAACAAAGTTCTCGAGGGAGGGAGGGTTGTAACATCCATTTATTATTGTCTGATTGACTGATTCTGACCCCAGATGCATACGAAAAGTCAGCTCTGTCATCAACCAACCCTTCAATTGGGTGAGATGAGAATTCATATTTGAATGAGTAATGATAATAACAAGGCCAAGAAAGAAACATCACATCTCCCACACAAGATTAGTTAAGCAAGTAAACGACATAGTTCATCACATGATGCTGATAAAGCCACTACTAATCCTACCTCATGCTAATTGCTGAAGGATCTTAGATCTCACTAACACTTGAAGAAACCATTTTAAAATGTTGTCATTGGAAGGTAATGAACAATGTGAGGGGTCATACATGGGTTTAATCCATGACAATTCAAATCGAGACATGTTGACCTTATGGGATCCATATGTTCATTTTGATGGAACAACCGAAAATGAGCAGCTAGCTATTGGAAGAGAAGAGAAGAAAAAAGAGAGGAAAGGGGACTTACCTGGGAATACAAGAAGGTTCCAAGGATAGCGATGGCAGCTCCCAAAGCATTGACAGGGCGGACAGGTGTGTGGAAGATGATGATGGAGGAAACAATGACGGATATACGTTTCATGGTGTTTCCAATGCTAAACGTCAAGGGAGAGATTTCATCCAATGACATGTATGAAACCTGGTTGTACAGATGATAGAACACACTTTGTGCGGCTACCCACCTACAAAGAAGGGAAATCAACATTCAACACATCACATCTCCAGAATCCAAATGAAAGAAACAAAGGAGAGAGAAAGAAAATGGAGAAATCATGTATCAACCAGCAATGTCTAGAGCATGCATCGAAGACAGGACAACAACACCAGCTGAACTCCCAACAACCTTATCCATAGTAATTTCTAGTACTCATATATGGTTTGATCGATCCCCGTTCACAATCAAGTTCTGTTTGTGTGTCCAACTAGAGAACCGTATGCAGACTACTTTACAGCCAGAAAATGTAAATTATTTGAGAACAGCTGAGGTGGCATAACACACACCACTCATTGGTTGCATCGCAAAACTACCCAACATACTGTACATATATTATAATACACACAAATGACAAATAATGTTACAAGAAATACTACGTAGCTATGTCAGAAAAGTGGGAATCATCACCTGCAATGTTATGAACAGCTGCTCTGTAGTATCAATAAATTACAGAAATGTACTAGAGATAAGCAGGGGTAGATTACCAGTAAAACAGAATAAAAAAATCAACAACAGTGTGTTTTCAATTGCAAGAAAATTACCAGACGAAATTGGGTCCAATCTGAGAAAGGGCGTTTTGCCACCCAGCAGCCCACATCTGTGGTCCCTCAACAGCAATAGCGAAAGGTGTGAGAATCACCAGAGACAATATAGAGAGACAAGCGTAGTAGTTCATTCCACTAACTGACTTGCCCTTCATACCCTTCTTTGAAAATATGTTCCTAAATACAAATGCCAAGTTGGAGATCATGGCCCCCATAAAACCTGCAATGGACAACAAAAACCCCCCAACACAATCAGCAAAGTCAGGAAAGAGGCCACAAAACTCCAACCTATGCAACATAATAAATGTTATATACACACGAGGAGTAGATGACTAAGACCAAATAAATGTTACATGGCTTGTCAGAAGACCATAAAACAAGTTATAGAAGAAAACAAACATAACTAAAAATGCGTTTGCGCTTAGATAAACAGAGTTCTAAACTGCCATTCATATGTCAAACGAGAACCCAGTTTAGAATTTGAGCTGGGTTATATTGATGGTTCAAAATGAAAAGCAAACAATGAATCAAACATTACCAGTCATGTTAAAGTTGAGCTCGGTGACAGCAGCAAGAGCACAACCACCAATAATTGGGAGGAGGGACAAGTAAACTCCGGCAGGGAAAGACTCTCCCAAGATGAATCTAGAGACCAAGACACTGAACGCTGGCTCACCACTCTTGATGATGTGAGTGAATGAAACTGCAACCTTAGACATACTCACTGTTGCAGCAACGTGCCCGATTGTATGTGCCACTGCAACCTATGAATGAGCAAACAATTTCAGTCCATTATCAACCACATAAGCTTTATGAGGGAGAAAAATCCAAAATTGATGTTTGCCAGACAGATACAAAATGGGTAGCTACAGATCTCAAAAAATTCAGGAATGAAATCACAGGAAACCAACAAATTCGTCAAATGTGTGCAAAGGAAACAAAATCTATCACCCAGATGAAAACAAAACCATCATTTTCCAATCCAATTTACTCACTTTCCCGTCAAATCTCAAAACCAAACAAAAACTCTGAAAATAAAACTTACAGGGAACAAAGTCTTCCAGAACTCAAAATCCGTCTTGGGCGCCGGCGTAATCCTTGTAGCCCAGGAGATCAACATCATCAGAGATCCACAAGCAAGCGAAAGCGTGGATGTAAGCCATGGATACGGAAAAGCGTTCAACACTTTCTTGTTGTAGATATTGAAAACGACATTCAACGCCCACCAGGTGGCGAAGTAAATTCCGATCTTAACCTTCCTCGCCGCCTCTGGTTTGGCATCGCTAGCGTCAATCGGTTCTGGCCGATCAGCTTCATACGCCTTGCAAACGATCAAGGGCGCACTACTCTCCCTGGCAGAAAAAGCCTCGATAGAGGTGAGGTGCAAAGGCTTCGAAACTGAGAGGGAGGGTTTCAAACCCTTAGGAGGAGCCGCAAGCGGTGGCAAAAAGAAGGCTTTCCCAGCCGCCAAGGGGGTTTTCCGGCGGAAAACAGTGTCAGATCCATTGATCGGCGGAGCTAGAGGAGAGTGTTTGAGCGAGATCATAACGAAGGAAAATGATCACCACCTAGTGCCAACTTACAAAGACCAGATCAGAGGAGAGATCGCCCGTAAACAAATAGAACAAATACCGATCGGTTAGAATGAGAGTTTTGTGGTTGTTTGGTGGGTTTTAAGAGCGGAGAAGCTCGAGCGGAGGGAGCTGGGAAATTGGGTTGGTTTGGAACCTATTAAAAGAAAAAAATAAGAGTGAAAAAGTTGTTCTTTTCGATTCAACCTTTTCTTGATCGAATATTTAATTATTTACTATTTATTTACATTGAAATATCAGACCCACTAATTATGCGACTAATCATGCTTCCCAAAAGTTATTTACGTTGGCTCCACATTTTTTATGCTATCAAGGGTAGTTTTACTTAGATGGCAATGGATCGGGTAGGTGGCGGATAGTGCATATTCGTTACTCTACCCAAAGTAGTTCGGTTTTACCTATATCTATATCTAGGGCTGTCACTCGGTCGGTTTCGGTTTAACCGAAAACCGAAATCTCGGTTTTCGGTTAAACCGAGACCTAACCTGTGTCCACCGGCCACCGACCGAAGCAGACGACTCGGTTATCCGAAAACCGACCGGCCGCTTTCGGTTAAAGGCCGGTTAAACCGTCCACACCGAAAAGGAGCAGGCCGGTTCGGTTTGATGGGCTAACCGACCGAAAACCGGAATGAACCGATTGGAAACCGAAATAAACCGACCGTCAGAACCTAAAAACCGACCGCCAAGACCGAAAACCGACCCTAAACCGGTCAAAACCGATCGGACAGCAAGGGAAAAAAACTAAAATGGCCTAAAATTAAAATCTCAAACCTACATTTCAATTCGTTTTGCACCGAAAATACATCTAAATTAGCAATTTAATGTCTCATATTCATTAATTCAGCAACATAAACTCCACAAATCACAATAAGTCCACTAGATAACAACAAATCAACAACACATCATAAACAATCTATCATCACTTATCACCGGCCTTAGAAGAACCAACATCTGCATAACCCTGTTCCTTCAATACGTCCCTCAAGTCATGACCATAATCGTCATATCCATCCTGCTCATACTCTTCCTCCGGTGCATCTTCTTCACCATCCTGCTCATTCTCCACTGGAATGTTGAGGCTTGCATCTGTATTGCCAACATTGCCAGTATTCGTTGCACTTTCCATTCTAGTTTGGAAAGTGACATTAACTGAGTAAGAAAAAAAAGGAAAACAAAGTGTTAGTACTTTCCAAAGTGTTAGTACATTGAATCAGGTGAAAAGAAGACAAAAACCTGAACAATAAGAGAGTTTGAGAAACTCACTACTTTCCAAAGTCAAATTCTCTTCATCATCTTCCTTGTCGTCGATCTCCCTGGATCCGGGATACCTTATCCAATCCTCGGCACAAATCAATGCCTCCACCATTAGGTCGCTCAAAGAGGACCTGAATGGACTGAGAATCCGCCCGCCACAACTGAATGTTGCCTCTGAGGCAACAGAAGAGATAGGAACAGCTAGGACATCCTTAGCCATCTCAGCAACAATCGGATAGATTCCAGAGTGTCGAGACCACCAATCCAAAATGTCAAACTTTGCATCATCACTTTCTTCATTGATACCATCGGTTTGACATTTCAAATAGATGTCAAGCTCAGCAGAGCTACCTCCTGTTTCCAGCAGAAGTGCTTCCCTTTTTCTCTTTCTAAGCCTCTCCTCCAATAACTTAATCCGATCACCAGCACCATCAACAATACCCTCATCAACAATGTTATCATCAGTGGTAGCCTGAGATGCTAACTCTGATCCATACTTCCTCTTATAAATCTCAAACATCTGCCGCATCTCCCTTTTAATCCTAGTCTGAATTTCCCCTCCTTTGATACTTCCATAAATCATTATCAACACTTCAGACACAAGATCAAGTTTACTTCTAGGATCAAGCACACATGCTATATAGATTAAATTATTCACCCGATGATTCTCCTCATTCATGATAGGTGTGTCAAACCAATATTTTCGTACCTTTTCTTCAACCTTTTCTGCCATCCTTTGGAGCTCTTCACGCGGATCATTCTTCAATTCTTGAATGATGTCATAAATTGGAACAAGTTTCTTGAAGAAAAGATGGATAGTCACATATTTAGTTCCTGTACAAATGAGAATAGAATACAGGAAATTAGACTTAAACAAACCAAAATTGTCAAATGTTCAAAATAAAATAAACAAATTGTCAAATTTCACTTACCTGAGACTAGGAGGGTAAAGTCATTAAAGACCTTCAGATACTTCATCAACTTTCTAATCAGACTCCAATCATGTTCAGTTGGAAGACCACCTCTTGCGTCAATATAATCCCTGAAGGAATGGTCATGTATACTTGTATACAAAGTGGTAAACACTCCACCAAACCTTTCTGCTGCTTCTAACATGATATAGGTGGAGTTCCACCTGGTCGGTACATCCAAACACACCAATTTGGTAGAATCCAACTCCAGAAATTGCATACCAGTCTTGAACCTTGCCAACCTAGCTGGCGATGACCTCACCCATTTCACACAGTCCCGAATTCTATCCACAGCTCCTCCGATTACTTTCAATCCATCCTGCACTACCAGATTAATGATGTGTGCGACACATCGAAACTGCAGATACTTCCCATCCATCAAATCAAACCCCCACACCTTTAATTTCCTTCTCATGCAATCACTCACAATATCATTTGTAGGTGCATTGTCCATGGTCATGCAGAACAAATTCTTCACCTTCCATTCTTCAAGAATTTCTGCAAGCTTCTCTGCAATATCATTTCCTGTATGACTTGTGATCGGAACAAAGGAGATCACCTTCTTCTGCAACTTCCAATCACCTCCAACAAAGTGAGCAGTCACACACATGAAATTTTTGTTGTTGTCAGAAGTCCACGTGTCTGTGGTGATTGAAACTCTGCCTTTGCTCTTTGATTCAAAAAACTCTATCAAATTCATCTTTTTCTCCAAGAATATATGAAAGCAATCATCTCTTATACCTCTCCTCCCAGGTATCTTAAAGAGTGGCTGAACCGTATGCATAAACTGCTTAAACCCGTCTCTTTCCACAAAGCGAAAAGACAACTCATCCATTATAATCATCATGGCTAATGAATATCTTGCTTTTGCTTGATCAAATTTCCATAAAGCACTTACTTGACTACCATCTGCGGCCTGCAAGTTCAGAACAGTCTGATCCTTGGATGCTGCAACCTTAGCCAAACATTTGAGCCGATGGGTATTCATTGCAGAAGTGCCGTTCTTGGATGGATGTGCTTTGATCATAGTGTGACAATGCTTGCACTCTCCAAACGGATATTCATTTTCCGCCACCCTCGTAAAGTCCTTCCAGCAATCAGCTGTACCTGCTGTCTCCAACCATTTCCCTAGATTGAAGGGATCTACAGGAGCTTTATTTGGAGCCGGATTAACCGTTTCTGCTGAAGGAGGCTCAGTAGCAGGTGTACTTCCACTACCGGCATGGGCGGGAGTCGATGCAATTGATGCCGATGCCGATGCCGACGGTTCAGCAGACTGAACAGGCCGACTCCCTGTACGTCCACCACGACCCCGATTCTGAGTAGGAGGGGCTGAGGCACCCGCACCACCACGACCTCGAGGGGCCGGAGGTCTCCCACCACGAGAAGCAGTCTCAGCGGATGGTGCACCTCGTCCACCACGTCCACCACGTGGAGCCGGAGGTCTCGCCCTACATCAAATTATCATCATCAATCATCATCAGCAACTAACAATCATCATTCGACATTCATAATCAATCGCCCTAAATTCATTAATCATCATCAATCATCATCAGCAACTAACAATCAACAAGAACCGAATCCAACGCAAACAAACACCTTAGTTGTCTTCTACTCCCCCCCATATCTTAGACCAAAACAAATAGATACACAAGACCTTCGTCCGATAATATAAAACTACAACAAATGCTTACACAAATTAGGAAGTCCTGATAATTAGCTGTCTTCTACTCTTTATTCAATCAAAACTTTGGAAGGAAAAAAGACAAGAAACTACTACCTCACGACACAAAGTAGGCAGCAGAACAAATTAGCCCAAACAAGCCACCAAAATTAGGAAGTCCTGATAATTAGCTGTCTTCTACTCTTTATTCAATCAGAACTCATTCAATTATTCAATCTAAAACCCCTAATCAACCGATTCAACCCTGCTGTTTTGGTCTTGGAAACCTGGGGGAAATTTTTTTTTCTTACATTCTCTCTTTCTTGACTGCTGCCTGCTGATGGAGGAATGGAGGCTGCCTGCTGGATGGTGGCGGACTAGAGAGACGGGGAAAATTTCAATGAAAATGTTGAAGATGAAGTCCAAGAAGTTCTGCAAAGGGATAAACAGCAGTACTATTGAGTTATGGTCTTATGGATGCTGTGATTATATAGGGAAGTTAACCCAAACCACAAGAGATAAAGGAAAACCGAAATCATCAAAAAAGAGATAAAGGAAATCAAACCTGGGTAGAGGCGGGCGACGGCGGGCGACGTCTCGTCGAGGAAGGGGGCACTGGGTCGAGGCGGCCGACGGCGAGCGGCGTCGAGGAAGCGGGGACCTGGGTCGAGGAGTCCGGCGGCGAGGAAGCGCAGAGCTGGGTCGAGAAGAGGGCAGCGCCGGCGAGGAGTGGCGAGTGGAGCTCCGGCGTGGCGCGACGAGGGGAGCGCCGACGGCGAGCGGCTGCCGCAGGTGTTCTCTGCTCTGCTGGCCGGCGATGGCGTGCTGGTCTCCGAGGATTTCGCCAATCGCCAGTAGAGGATGGAGGCGGCTGTGGACGAGAGGGATGGAGGCGGCTGTGGTCTGTGGACGATTCACGCGAGTCAGCGAGTGTAGGGTTGGGGGTCGATTCTCACTTCTCCAAAACGACGCCGTATCCATCGGTCGGTTAGAGGCGGTTAGCCGGTTAACCGGCTTCGGTTACTCGGCTAACCGCCTGGCTCCACCCAGCGTCCGCCAACCGACCGAGGCTGATTTCCTTCGGTTTTCGGTTAGCCGCTAACCGGCGGTTACCGGTTAGACCGGCCGGTTAGCCGCTAACCGAACACCGAATTGACAGCCCTATCTATATCCACATAAGAAACGAGTAGAAAATCAAAATCATGCCCATACCCGTTTGGGTTTCGGGTATCCACGGTTATCTATGGATAATAATTTCTCTACATAACTCCAAGTTAACATTCACTCGTATTCTCACATTACGTA